CCCCCCCCCCGAGGCAACTTTATCGAGCGTTTATATGTGAAAACGTAGTCCCTGTAAGCCGAGGCATGCAAAGTTGACCTTGCACGATTATTCATAACCCTTATTGAATAATCGAATGTGCAAATATTCCTCTTTATTTGAGTTTCCGTCGGTCATTCGATCACAGTGGGTTTTGCCGAGTTAATTTTCTCTTCTTTGATACAAATTTCTGCTTTTAAACCTAAATCTAGGCATTACGTGACACTCGCCACGGCGAGAATTTTCCCGGTTAGGCGAGCCAAAGTGTTGATATGAAGAAAAGTTGTCCGGCCTGCCAGGGTTACCCTACCTGCCAAGGCGGGACAACTCGCCCACCCGAGTTGTCTCGCCGCCCAAGGTTGGTTCGCGATCCTAATGTAAACGGTTGGTTGAGTTTTGTTACCTCACCGAGGGTAACTCGGGGGAGGGTTGTCTCGGGTACCCGACATCATATAAATGGGGCCTCAATCTCATACTCGTAGTCCAATCTAAAGGTCCCTAATAACACCGTTTATGCTGCGTTGTAATACGCAGTTCGTGAACAAAGTTGGTCTGAACCTAGTTTCAGACCGGAGAAAGATAAAGTTTTGGAATCCCTTATGAATGACTTAAAATTTTGCTGATCATGGTCGCTGATTTGTCAACATTCTGAAATTTGTGAATAACCTACTTCCTGGGATTGTTTGAGTTGTGCACAACTTAACAGATCTGCAAAAATTAGTATAAAACATACCTTTTAACATCTGGAGTTAATATAAATATTGTCACGAGTGCTAATAGACAGGAAAAGCCGAAGAACCAAATAGCACATCTCCAATATGGGGAACGTGCCATCGACATTTGAAGCAAATCTGTGAAAAAAATTTATGCCTGCGAGTCAGTAAGTTTGTGGGCGCAACGTTTCATATGACGCAACATTTCAAACGTGACTGTGGTGTTGCTATTCAACAGGGATTCTTAAATACATCAAATAGTAACCAGGCAAGCCCTGTCCGAGTTGCCTTTTACTTCTGCATTCAGGAGTATCCTAATGTACAACCCTTCAATGTTTTGATTTGCACGTTGTGCAAAGTTGTGCAACAAGACTCCCTTTGAAGCTGAGGGAAAAAGCCACTCGGAATTCGCCTATTGGCTGACTATATTTCCTTATTTTCGACGGCCTATTTAGATGGAGAAGGAGTCCCTGGTAGGAGGGCTACCCTTTCCTTAACCGACCACCATATCAGCAGAGTGAAAAAACTTGCTCTTCGTCCGGTTTCGCGCATGCTTTAGATATCCTGACTTTTCTCTGGTCGGCGAGAAAAAGTTGGCTTTCCTTCCAGGCTCATGCTAGCTTCAAAGCGAATGACCCTTCACCTAACTTCAGCCTGCCCTTGATTTTTCATATAAACGGTACGCACCCAGTTGCAAAGGAGAGCTGATGTATGAAAAGTTCACTCCCCTGTCGGTGACTCGTTAAAGGATAGTTTACATAAGCACGACAGCGACGCCGAGGGCAACGACGACTGAAAAACTACTTCATATTCTAGTTAAGAATTTTACATATATCTGATTCTTTCCAGTGTGCCTATCCTCAGCTCAATATGTAAAGAAATTGACGATTTCGAAATAGAAGTCTGGATGATTCACTGTTGTGGTTCATGTTCTTCAAAAACCGCGGAATTGATCATTTCACGTTGTTTTGCAGAGGACGAGTAAGAAATGTACCAAAATTTAAAACGCACGTGCATAGCCATGTTTCTGTTCATTAAAGCTTTTAGTGGGCGCTTTCCATTCGACCAAAAATTCCGGTAACAATTTCTGGAAATTTCCATGGGCGAATGGTACAGACTTTTGAGTCACTTTTCCAGTGTAGAAAACGACAAGCCGCACAGTTTTGTTCGCTTGGAATTTTTCAATGACTTCGAGTTTTAAATCGCAAGTATAGAAGCAAACAGAACACTAATATGTCGACATCGTGACTTTTCATAGACCACAACAGCAGGGACCTTATACCAACCACAACGGCAGCGAAAAAGTCGCAAAACAAAGGGGTTAATGAGTCGTACAATGGTTCTGCACGCGTTATAAATCTTTGTACATTTCCTAGCCAGCCTACGCAAAACAAACAAGTACACTACGGGGGCATTATTTTTATAAAACGTTTTCTTCACGAATTTAGCTGCAGCTAGTATTTATCGACATATAAGTAGAATGATTCTAAAGTATTTCCATTTTCGAGTACGCGTCGCTGTCATCCTTGCGTGAGATGTCCAACTCGCTATGAATCGCGGCCAAAAGAACTAGCGCTAAATAGAAAATCGAGAATTTGCATAATTTCCGAAAAAGAGGACAACCTCGTGAGGTATACCCAAATTTTCGAACATATTTTCCTGGAAATTTCCCTTCCATTTGATTTTCATCCCGGAATTTCTAGAATTTTGGGTTGAATGGTTCGCTCGGAAATTCAACAATTTCCGGATTTTCTGGGACCTTTCCCCGGAAATTTCCGTACCATTTGCCTCCGTTTGGAAAATTTCGGAAATTTTGGTCGAATGGAAAGCGTCCTTTGTTTGTAGACACTCTCGCTGGCACCTGAGACAACATGTCGTAAAGAGGTTTATTTACGGCGACTCGAACTCTTAACTACATATCACTGGCAGTGGTTTCTAGAACAAAATAATACATTACATACAACATTGGAAATACAAGGCAAAACGATGAAAGGCGACATTTACCTGACGATTTGGATACGGCGACGAACAGCATGAACGAAAGAAACGTTGCTTGTTCAAACGTGAATGAACCTTTTAAATTGACATAACCTGCGCGAAAGTGAACTTCTCGAACATTAGTCAGGTGGCTTAACGCAAAATTTAGGCTGGATCGTGACAAGTGTGATAAAAGCATGAAATTTGGCACACAGCTTGCTTATACCCTACCAAATGATATTAGAAGGGGTGCCCA